AATATAATATAATATAATATAATATAATATAATATAATATAATATAATATAATATAATATAATATAATATAATATAATATAATATAATATAATATAATATAATATAATATAATATAATATAATATAATATAATATAATATAATATAATATAATATAATATAATATAATATAATATAATATAATATAATATAATATAATATAATATAATATAATATAATATAATATAATATAATATAATATAATATATTATATTATAATATATTTATAATTATAATTATAATTATGATTTACAATGTAATTATAATTATAATCATCATTATTATTAATATGATTGTTGTTCTTGTTGTTAATTTTGTAATTATTATTACTTCGGAGTAATTATATATTTAAATTAGTAATTATAGATATAATTATGATTATAGAGATAAATATTATAATTATAATTACAAAAAAAATAATTATAAAATTAAGCATAATTAAAAATATAATTACATTTATAATTGTATCTGTATTTATAATTAGTGTAATTGGTATAATTATTATAATTTTAAATTTAATTTAAATTATTTTTTTTTATAATTATTATTATAATTGTAATTTTATTTAAGTTATATTTTAAATTACAATTATAAATCTAATAATTATAATTATAATTACAATTATAGAAATATTCAAATCAGATCAGAAAGATTCAGATCAGAAGAATTCAGATCAGATCAGATCAGAAACATTCAGATCAGATCAGAAACATTCAGATCAGATCAGATCAGCAACATTCAGATCAGTTCAGCAACGTTCAGATCAGATCAGAAAGATTCAGATCAGATCAGAAAGATTCAGATCAGATCAGATCAGAAAAATTCAGATCAGATCAGATCAGAACTTAAAAAATTCAGATCAGAAACATTCAGATCAGGTGAACGGAACAGCTTCATAGTAATGTAGAGTTCCGCTTAGGCTATGTATATGTGTGTCTGGTAGCAAGTTTTGACACGACATAGCTAAACTCTCCGAGAGACATCCTTTTATGTCAAATAAATCTTACCATTATAGGATATGGCTAAACCATTACACGGATTCAGCCCGTGGAAAGCAAATAGTTCCCCTCTTTCATGGTTCACACCTCCATTATGCTATACTCCGTACAACATAATTGTGAATGCCTTAAAAGTTAGTTCTCAATCCAATAGTTCACTGCCACGTGTCAAATAATTATGGAGGATTTTTTTATGAAATGATATAACATTTTCATTTTATTTTGATCTTTATCAAAATGTATCAAGTTAAATAGTTTTTTTATGATCTTTCATTTTTTTTTTGTAATTTTTTAAGACATTTTTATTATGGTTTGATATACTTCAATCTGTTTTAGTAAACGTTTGATGAATGTATATTTGACTATTACTTGAGTCTGATTTGTTATGTCCTGGCCTGTCTAATATGTTTAAATTGAAGACCGATATCACTCCAATAAAAACGTCTCAATGCCTTTCACATTTGTGACCGTATATCTACATATTAACTTGGCAGAAACTAATTTGTAAAGAAAATTTTTATTTATAATTATAATACAAAAATAATATCAATTATGATTATATGATAATAGAATAAACACAACATTCAATAAAAAAATGAATGAAAGAGGATATATGATCACCAAATATTACCCAATATTCTACGCTACAAACTTAATGAAATAGATATCAATCAATCATCATTTACCCCAGTGCCGCAAAGGCTCTCACCTACGGTGGGGTAAGGGAGGTCGGATGTACGCAATCTTATCTATGTACTAAAGCACATAGAGACTGTTTCCGGATAATCCATAATGAAAATCGCGTCTAAAATTGCATGTGTTGACTGCTGCTTCATAACAAAGAAGAACAAACAGATTGGTGAGCCGTTTTGCTTTATTCCATCATATTCTCAAACCAAAAAATAATGAATCTTTGGCTCCATTGCAAATGATGAAATAGATCAAAAAGAAAAACTAAATATAATGGAGGAAATGAAGTGATTAATATGAACTAAGATAAATTATTAAATATCTCGTGAGTGTGAAAGTGAAGAGTTTTGTTTTATTTTTAAAATAATCTCCACATTCATTCCTCATTGTATTAGATGATCGTAAAAATTTTTAAAACATTATAATTTGTTACAAATATTTATATAGCAATTATTTGATGATAGTTATACTTTGTTATCCTATTTATATTGGGGGGACACCTTTTAAAGACTGTTGTTCTTTAGAAACAAAGTTAGAAATAATATCAAGGAAATATGAAAATCTAACTTATCAAAAAATGAATAATGCGGCATGACTAATTAATACACACATTGTGTGACACGGCACCCGAGTGTACTTGAAACTTTGTTTTAAAATTCATTCCATGTATTTGAACTCTCTACTATTAAGCATGTGTGAAATGATTAAAGCTTAATTAATAAATGATTAATTAAAATATGAATCGAACCTGCACTATAAGGATAAACTACCAAATACTTAATTGGGTATCTTATTAGTTATAGGAGCCCAACATAAAATGAATGAGAGCTCATAAGCCATTTGGATCCAATAAGAAAGATTGGAAAAATCAAGTATCACTTTGGGTCCAACTTGCTAAAAAAAGCAAGTTTGATTGAAAGAGATATTCTAGAACTACTTGAGGGTACCCCCCACACTCATTATAGGTTTTAAATAAATATTATGAAGACTATAATAATTTAGATATACGGATAAAGGGATGAGGGGACTCCGAGACACTAAAACAAACTCATATGATCCCATCTGTGACATTATTAAACTAAAATAAGGGAGTAAGTTTTTTCTCCTATAATTATGCACCATATAAATTATTGAGACCATCCTACACATATTAGAGACTCATAACATGCATAATATGTAAGAGGTTGATTTTGTCTAAGAAAATTAGAATATGTGCAAAAAGACATCACATGATAAGAGGGTAAATTAGAATATGACCCATTTCTTCCACTTTTTAATTATAAATATAATTACAATTATGATTATAAATATAAATGCAATTACAGTTATAATTATAATTATAATTATAATTATTGCTACAATTGTAATTATAACTATACACACAATTGTAATTATAATTATTGTTATGATTGTAATTGTAATATATTATAGCAATAATTATTATCACAATTATAATTATAATCAGAAAGATTCATATAAGACCAAGTCAGAATGTTTCAAATTAGATCATAAAGATTTAGATCAGAAAGATTTAGATCAAAAAAATTATATCAGGAACATTTACCTCAGGTGAGTAGGACAACTTCTAAACTATAACTTCTTAGCTTACTTTTATGAAGAGAGGACAACTTCTAAACTATAACTCAGGTGAATAGGACAACTTTTAAACTATAACTTCTTAGCTTACTTTTATGAAGAGAGGACAACTTCTAAACTATAACTTCTTAGCTTACTTTTACGAAGATTTAATACCGAGAATATAGACTTAGGCTACTCTACCAGTCAATTATAAGCATGCAAAGTAATTTGTATCACATATAGTGGTAAGTTGTTTATTCAGAAATTGCCTTAAATAAATCTAAATGAAAATTTAATTGCATAAATAAAACTAAAACCTAAATCATTCACAAATAAGACTAAACATTACTTTTCTAACCTAGATACCCATAATCTAATTAATTGCTCCCCTCTTGTTGCCTTGGGCAACCTGGGCACTCCGTTGGTGGCAGGGCAGCCTGACGTCAGAGATTGGAGACGAAGCTGCGGCGAGACTCCCAACGTGAAATTGACAGAAAAGCCCTGGAAATTTTGGCCAAATTCCGGCAGTGTTGGCCGGCGGTGATGGTAGGTAGGGCAGCTAGGCGAGGGCCGGTGGCTAGGCAGAACAGTCAAAATGCTACAGGGGCATATTTGTCCAAACACACGTGATTAGTTCTAATTAGAGAATTTAAAATAAGGTAGTGTTATTTGGGATTTTAAGCATGTTTAAGTTCTATTTAGGTAATTATCCATTGTTTCTCTTATAAAGTTGATTATTGGGGGCAAAATTTCAGTTCTCATAAAGTTAATTATCTGTACAATCAATACGAAGTATTTTAATACAATTAAACACTCGTAAAAACCACAAAACCTGCAAGATGTATTAATAGGTTTATTAATACATTAATCCATGAAATTAGTGGACATAGTTTGTGTATTATAGAGGCTTAACACAATAATTCAATAAATCTATTTTGTTTCAACAATTTTTCGGCAAGTTCGTTCTGTGGTTAGATCATAGAAGTCTCAATTATTGTATAATACGATCTTTGTGGGCTTTGAAGTTTCATTAGGTTCGCCAAGAATGTGGTTTAGTTATATACTATGTAATAATAATATACTACGTAATATATAGAATATCTAATCTAATTCTATAATTTGAACTCCTTCTACCCTTAGAGCCCGTTTGGAGAACTCTGTTTTCAGCTTATCAGGCTTATCAGCCAGCTTTTTCACCAAACACGTAACTTTTACTTTTGCGCGCTGAATTGTGTAATAAGCCGAAAAAGTAAGGTTGGAGTTACTTTTCTGGCTGTATTGGCTGAAGTTACTGTAGAGGACCATTTTAGCTATTTTTACATATAATTTTTTCTTTAATTTATTAATAAAATATATTTTTAAAATATTTTTTTCTTAAATCAGCAGAATCAGCCAAAACAGCCACTCCAGCCAGAATATCATAAATTTCAGCAGAATCAGCCAAAACAGCCGATTTTGGTGCTACCAAACGGGCTCTTAATCTTAATTTAAAGTATGTGATACGTGGTAGGCGGTAGCTATTTAAGAATCCTATTTCTTATTGAAATCGATTTAATATTTGTTTTATTTATTGTTTGATGATTACATAATCCTTTTCGTATTAGAACTTGTCTTTAATTGTAGTTGGGAAATTTAGGTATGAACTAGTATAAATACTTGCATCTATTTTTTTAATTCATACCCATTATATTTTTCTCAACAAGTCAGTATTAGACATCTTCATAAGAAAAAAAATATTTCTTCTCAAGAGCATTCTATCAGTTCTTTCAGGAAGAATTAAACGTTTTATCAAGTACAGTAAGTTTTTGTTAATTTCTTATATTATTGTTTATTATCCGTTACTCTAGTATAGTCATGCTATATTTTAAGATTTTTTAATTCGGTTACAATAGCCAAGTTATTAATATTAAGTCCTCCAATATGATCTATAAACTAAAAATCTTCTGGTTAATCTGTATCATGATATGATTCTCAAATTTTAATATGTATATAATATATATATATAGAGGGCTCTTCTCATCAGGCCGGCGGCCTGACGGGCTGCCCGTCCGGCCGAGCCCGTTTGGGCACCTTCCCGGTGGAATTTTTTGATGAAATTTTTTGAGCATGTTCCTAGTCAAGTCTAGTTTGTCCATACCAAATTTCAGCTCAAAATTCGATCGGGAAGGTCGTCAAATGATTTTTGCAAGTTAACTGGTCCGGAATATGTATTTTCCGGACCAGTTAACTTGCAAAAATCATTTGACGACCTTCCCGATCGAATTTTGAGCTGAAATTTGGTATGGACAAACTAGACTTGACGAGGAACATGCTCAAAAAATTTCATCAAAAAATTCCACCGGGAAGGTGCCCAAACGGGCTCGGCCGGACGGGGCAGCCCGTCAGGCCGGCCTGACATGAAGTTTTCTCTCTATATATATACATCACACACACACATAGTCTGGTTCTATTGTACCGTCAAATATTAAGTGCCATGTTCCGATAGGGTTGTTTATGTACCAATAACCTATAATAATAATAATATTATAATAACAATATATATGGAGTATAATAGTAGCATATATATGTATGAATAGGGTTGTTTGCAGCCTTTAATACGTTCTCCATAATTAAAATAACTAATAAGTATTCACTTTCTTGTTTATAAGAAGTATTTCCTTTCTCAATTGATCTGATTTGAGCTGATAAATGTTTGGTCTTTGTGTATTTTATAACTATGTATGTATGTCCTGATCTGATTTGGAACGGAAAATAGTCCAAGTAATAACATCCTCAATTAGGTTAGAGGCTATGTTTTTTAATAGGAAATTAGGGATAGACTACGAAATTGTGTCACTTAATTGTCAAAGTATAAGAATTTAAAATATTATTTTCAAAGAGTTTCAAAACTAAATCCACATCTACCAAACAAAGTTAATATTATGTCATTTTTCTTTACTAAACAGATATTTAGATTAAATTCAAAGTATTTTGTTAAGTTATTTTATTATTTTCTCATTATATGAGGCCTAGTCTAGGCGTTTAGAACACGGCTTCTTGGATTTCTTGGACGGCTCTGCCGATGCCAAATTGCGAATATGTAGGTTATAATAACTCGGCTCTTAAATGAGTGCAAGATGTTGAATTTTACACTATTTGCATGTTCTACTTTGACAATGTTTAATTAAATAATGTGTTAATATATTTTCTTGAAAAAGATATTGTTAAATTTGTTTCATTGTAAATTTTCAAAATGTGTTTTTTCTTAATTCTTTTACTAATAAAGAATTATATATATTAATGGTCAAAATTGTGTCTCGGCAAGTGTGAAATGTTGATCGTTGCACTTATTTAAGAACGGAGGAAATATTATATTAATAAAAACGGGTTCTATTTTAGTGAGTATAGTTTGGGCACAAAGTAATACGTAGTATATATAAAAGTACATTCATGTAATTTAATTTGTAGGGAAAATCCCTTAGGTGAGAGTAAAAATGATACAAAAATTTCAAAACAAGAGTATTATGTTTTTTTTTGCCAAATTTGAGTAATTTAACGACCACATTTAACCTATATAATTGCATATCTAAAAAAATCTCGTCACATTAATTTTATCATCATGATATAAACTACTTCATATCATATTTTTTAAGAGCTCGTAACATAAAAATCGGTTGATTCTTCTGAAATTTATAAAGTTCTGGCTGAAGTGACTGCATTGGCTGATTCTGCCGATTTAGGAAAAAATTATTTTTAAAATATATCTCATTAATAAAAAAATGAAAAAATTATATGTAAAAATAGTTAAAATGGTCATCTACAAAACTTCAGTCAACACAGCCAGAAAATTAACTCCAACTTTAATTTTTTTTATTATTACACAATTCAGCGCGAAAACAAAAATTACGTGTTTGATGAAAAAACTGGTTGATAAGCTGAAAAACGATGTCACCAAACAACCTCTAAATATTAATATTATCATTTAATTGAGTTGAATAATCACCGTCAAAATAAGCTTTCGATTTGTTATTGTAAGGTCTATGGCTGCATTACTATTACAACAAGGTGACAACTCCGGTACCCATTTAAAAAATGGGGTACCGTACCTATCATGCATTTGATAGGTCCAAATCATTATATGCTTTTTAATTTAGATTTAAATAATTCAACTGCATCATTATATTGGTCCATTTGGTTCATTCTTATATATGTCGTTATAATATTACGTAGTATTATTGATTTATTGATAAAGTATGTGAAACAAAACTCTTATTTGGGTTACAAATTAGGATGTTTTTAATTGGATGAAAATTATCTGGTCCGGTCTAATTTGTTTAAATCTTGTCTGAATTGATCTGATCTAATTTGGTCTGGTAGATGTCTGTTTTATTGTATTTTACAACTGTAAAATATGATATGTTTAATTCTGATCTTATATATATGAACAGATCTGATTTGATCTAGATTGATATTAGCTTTGTGTGTTGTTGTTATTGACATACTGGGTTACTCGAATAATAGAAATTAAAAGGACAAAATTTGATTCCACTGTGATTTTTAGTAAATATATTGGGATAGGGAGACTATAACATAACTTTTTTTGTTATTCATTAAATAATACAATTTTTTTTTGTAAATATATTGGGATAGGGAGCCTATAACACAATTTTTTTTATTAAATAATACTTTTTTTAGAGATACCAGAAGCTACATATAGGAGTACATTTTAATTAAGAAAGTAGAAACCTCCTTGTTCTCATATACGGACTTTTTTTTTCCTGTCATCATTTTTGTTTCCTAATTAGCAGAAGAGTAGAATAGACTTTTCCCTTCGGCTCTTTTAGGACAAATTGGATCATTGATCTCACTATCTCAATACTCCATAAATTCCTTATTTATTATTTAACTCCTTTGTTAGTTAAACTTGTTAAGGATATCAACTCTTACCATCATGGAAACATTATCACCGGCCGAACTTCAAACGGAAGATGTTCGTGCAGCCATGGTTTTGCTTTCCATGAGCAATAAAACTTTGGGATACGAAGAAGCCAAAAGTTTGGAAAAGAGGAAAAGAAAATCTCTTCTTCCCAAGGAAACAGAAAGACCAAAAAGGATAAATCCATATTTAGCTTATAGCATTGATGGGACCCTGTTGTCAAGATATCCTCCAAATTTGGAGGGCATAGTAGACATTGAGGCTTGCAGCTTTCCCTTTGAGAAGCAACTCACCCCTACAGATGTGAAGGAAGACCAAAATCGCCTTTGTTTGAATAAGGACAAGGTGATAAACCTGATTTTGCCATTGATGAATGATGATGAAGATCCCATTAATGGTATTATAGTGACAACTTACGACTCTTATGGGGTAGAGTATGAGATGACATTTAAGAGCTGGTCAGATAATAAATTCTATGTTCTCAATGGAGGGTGGAAGAAGTTCTTTCAAGACAATGAGTTGAAGGAGTATAAAAGTTGGGTCACTATTTGGATGTTCCGCCATAGTCAAACTAGAAAAAATTGGTTTGCCTTGAATTGGAAGACAGTGGACACTTAGGATTTTACAAATCCTAAGTGTCTTAATAAATCCAACAAACCCAAATATCAAAAGAAAACATGATATTATTCTTGTATTTATTAGTTTACTTATGCTTGTATGTGTTGTATCCTTTTAAACCTTATTTCCCAATAGAGTATAATACTATTTTTGTGTATTTGACGGACTAAGTGTATGATCTTGTTAAATTGTGTTTGCAATTGGTCAAATTCCTATTATTAGGAATGCAACTCCTAACTCTCAATGTGGTTGAAGCGGTTGAATTTGTTGAAATTGAATAAAATTATCACTAAAGCGGATTGAATTTGTGAGTTCTAGACAATTATTTTAAAATATAATACTCCCTCAGTCCCAATTTGTAGGACATGTTTCCTATTCACTTGGTCAACATAAATCACTTTTAATCTTTTACTTTATACATTTAACTTTTATCAAATATGATTTTTTTTGCGAAATTGTAAAATTCTAATGTAGTTTCTGACTATGTAAATTTTATTTTCTAAAACTAATTTGAGTTTTAACACAATCACAAATTAATTTGCTTTATCATCGGTCAAACAGCGTAAACCGTAAAGTATCTTACAAATTGGGACGGAGGGAATAATATATTAGAGAGAAAAATGAAAATAACTAAAATTGTCCACTCCGGAAAATTCTGTCAATTCGTTCAGAATAGGGACCCCTATCTTATTTATTTTGATTTGATTATTGTTTTTTTTAGGGAAAATTTTGATTTGATTATTAAACTATTTAGTTGATAAAATCAAAAGCATTTGTTCTAAATGAGACTAAAACATTAAGAAAATTCCAAAGTAGGACTACAAGTTTATTATTTCCAAAATAGGACCCCAGATTACATTTTTGTCTTCTCCTGTATTAATTCAATTCACCGACTTCTCTCCGAATCAATTCCGTTAATCTGCAACTTCTCTCCTAGCCTTGGAATTGCAATCCTTCGTCTGCGATTAAACGCAAGGACTGTGCTTGCGACGGAACGCAACTCCTACATCATCAACGGTGGCCGCCCTCCCCATCGACGCCAATCACACCTATTTCGCCGGCAAAAATAGGTAATCCTCTCCAACTTTCTTCTTCTTCTTCCTCTTCTTCTTTTTCTTTTTTCTTCTTCTCCTTCCTGTTCGATCATCATCTTCTCATCATCTCTGTGGTGCTCTGTTTGCTTTTTCTTAGAAGGGAAAAGGTGCAAATAGGCCCATGTACTAACAAAAAAAGGTCAAATAAGCCCTTATTTAAGAGTCTTTGTCCGGCCGTCGTCATTTGGAGTGGTTCCCGGTGGAATTTTTTGATGAAATGTTTTGAGCGTCTTATTCATTAAGTCTAGTTTACTCATACCAAATTTCAGCTAAAACTTCAATCGGGAAGGCATTCAAATGAATTCTTGAAAATAACTGCGCAGTTAGAAGCGCAGTTATCTTCAAGAATTCATTTGAATGCCTTCCCGATTGAAGTTTTAGCTGAAATTTGGTATGAGCAAACTAGACTTGATGAATATGATGCTAAAAAAATTTCATCAAAAAATTCCACCGGGAACCACCCCAAATGACGACGGCCGGACATAACTTCCTAAATAAGGGCTTATTTGACTTTTTTTGATTAGTACATGGGTCTATTTGCACTTTTTCCCTTCTTAGAATGATTTTGATTTCACTTAATTCTTTTACTTTTCTAAAAAAAATCTCACTTGTAACCATTTAGATTCAACGTGAGGTTTCAACCAACAACATTTTTATTTGAGTTGTACGAAGTATTATGATTTTGATTAACGTAACTGGGATTGGATTTGAATTTTATTTATTAATTTGGATTTTTTGTGTTTGAATTTTATTTTTTCAGAAAAATGTCACTTTTGTAATCTTAGAATGTCAAAATTATTGGTTATTTGAAAAAACTGTCATGTTTGTGGCAATATATTTATCCGGATGACAATATGAAAATGTCATATGTCAATAAGAAAATGTCATTCTTATGGCATTTTATGTCATTTTTTATGACATATTTGAGAATGTCATGTTTTGAAGAAAAATGTCACCTTTATGGCAGTACTATGACAATCTTACTTTGAAATTATAACATTTATAATGTCATTTTTTCAAAGTGAGATTGCCATCTTTATAAACATGCTGCCATAAAAGTGACGTTTCTTCTATTAATTTTGACATTCTCAGATTACAAAAGTGACATTTCCAAAATTTACCAGAACTAAACAAAATTGAAAAAAAAATCAAATATATTCGATCATGGTCATACGTTGAAACTCACTTTTCATCTCAATTTTTAGATCCAAAATACTATTTTCATTTGTTAATAGAAACAAATTGAAAAAATTAAAATACAGAGAACCTGGAAGAAGACGAGAAGAGGATTAAGAAGAAGAAAAGAAGAAAAGGGAAAAAAGAAGAATAGGAAGAAAAGAAGAAGAGTAGCAGATCGTTCGCAGAGTAGCCAGCGGCTCCATACGGAAGCCTGGAGTTTTATATTGAGGGGCAATTTTGTCAAGCTGCTATATTTTAGTCCTAAAAACGTTAATAAAAACATGATAGTCCTAGTTTTGAATTTTTCTATTGTTTTAATCCGGAAATTTACTCTAAAATCAAATGTTACACATATCATATAAAGCTTATAAGAGGGATAATGCGAAAATAAGTGCTACTAAAAAAGCACTCTCACATGCTTTAACTTTATCATCCTTGATGTTTATAAAAAACAAAAACTTTATCATCTCTGATGAGTATGCTTTGTTGGTGATAAAAATCCTAGCTAGAAAAAACCAGGGATAGAAAAAAGGGGATGCTAGAAGAGTAGAAGGGGCCTCCCCCACCACAGCCCCACCAAGAAAAATGTATGATGTATATACATGTTTTTTTAGCGTAAAAAGAAAAACCTTATTGATAAAAGAAGCAGAACACAAACACCTAAATGAAGAATCCATATACGAATATAGATGATTAGTAATTTGTATTGGAGTAGTTGAGCCAGGTTCGCCGTTGAGTATGTTACTTGGTGTTGTGCAATCACGCTTGCTATCTGGTCTCAATAGTCCTAGGTGTTGATTCATTTCGCCTTTGATTTTTTGGAAACAATAACCGTGAAGCTTTCTTCTTTTGATGGTATGTGAGCCACTCTTTTTAATACATGCACGTATGTGTATAAATATTTATAGACACTAAAAATAGAGTGAAATTTTAAGGTTTGCCATATATAAAACATAAATTCTTTAATTCACCTTCCTATAATATACCATTTTTGATATGTTTATTAAAGTTAATGTGGTTCTAATAATTAAATGAAATTGTAGTTTAAAATTATTGAAATCATTTAATTTTCTTAAATTACTAAAAAAGTCTTTTGATATTAAAGAAAATTAAATTGTTTTTAATTTAATACTAACTTCATCCAACAGACAACGGTTAAATTCACAATTTTATTTTCAATCCATTTTCTCTCTCCTTTTTTACTCCAGGGGGTCAGGGGGCTGGGACAGCCTGTGGTAAATAGGATTGAAATTCCTTCATGAAATTTCAAATCCTTCCGTAGGAGAGAGTGAGTTGTGATAAGGTGAGTTCGGCCATTTCCTCTTTTCAATGCTTGGCATTAATTTAACTAAATATTTCTCTTCTAATCAAATTCTTTACACATACAAAAGTAATTATTTCAAATATATAATCAAATAAAAGTGATGGACATAGTAACTAACTTTTGTGATTATAATGGTACTTAAATTTCATATCACAATGACAATAACACATATATGGAGTAATTTATAATCACATTTTTAATCATATATTTTGTATAAATAATATTTTAGGAAAATTCCATACAAAGCAATTTGATCAAGGTGGTGTTTGGATCTGATACTTAAATTTGGTTCTGCTCATTCAAGGAGCAGAAACAAAAGTTGGATTGTTTGAGAGAAAGTGTAGAAGTGATTTTGATGTTCTAATTTACTCATAGAATCAGTTTTTAGAAGTGATTTTGGTGTTCTAATTTATTCCCAGAATCAGTTTTTACAGAAATTTGGGAGAACTAGAAATTTGGAAGAACTGTTTCTCAAAATTAATTTTGATTCTATTCCAACTTTAAAAAAAGGAGAGAAGTCCAAACATCCTAATTTGTGTATCCTACCGGATAATGGATATTTGAGGGGCCTTAAAAAAAGGATATTTGACGGGAGTTCCGATATCAAAACTAGCGCAGAATTTCGTTTCGCTAGAACTGAAACGGATAAATCCAAAATCTGCTCCGAAAAATCTTTTGTTTTTCTCATATATACATCGAAAACCCTAACAAGCAGGGGAACCAGCAAAGATGCCGAATCGGTACGGAAGAAGGCAGAAGTTCGTATGGAGGCCGAAGAAGAAAGATCCGGCGGGTGCTCCCTCTACCGCTCCGCCTCCTCCGCCGCCCCCATGGGTGGAGCTTCCGCGTGACTTAACGGCCAACATCTTGCAGAGGCTAGGGGTGGAGGATGTCCTGAGGAATGCCATTATGGTGTGTACCACATGGAGAAACGTCTGCAAGGATCCAACCATGTGGCGCGTTATCAACATGTCGAAACCAAGCTTTAGCGACGACGACGAGTTGGAGGATATGTGCCGTCACGCGGTGGAACTCAGCCAGGGCGAACTCAATGAGATTATCATTGAAGACTTCTGCACTAATGAATTGCTCTTATATATTGCTCAGCGGTCAGCATTGTCTTTAATTTAATCTTCACATATTCCTTACTTATTCATTGGGATAGATACACTCTGAAATATGACAACATATATACACCTTTGGAACAATTAAACTAAAAAAAAGTTGGAGCTAATATACCCAAAGTTGAAAAGGCATAATTTTTCCATCTTTGTGATGTTTGTGTTAATTTTTATAAGAAATGTGTAGGTTATATTCCTTTGTAGCATAATCCAGAAGCATCGTTATTTAGTCATAGGAAAAACTGTTCAAGTAATACTCCTCGACAGCATATGATTGATATTTGACATATTTAAGAAAGACTAACATTTGATTAAGAGAAATTGTACTTGACAGAACTATCAGTGAAGGGTATTTAAGAAGCATACAAATTAGGCAAATTATATGATACATCTGGGCACAAATTCAATTTTTTCAGCTCACCATTCATTCTATACAATACTCATTTGAATATAAAAGCTCATTTTATACTAGAGAAATGATCATTTCGTCATTTGGATCTACCATGTGTACAGTACATTTGGTTGTATAATGTACATTTTGTTGTATAGTACGGAGTACATTTTTTCTTCCAAGTTAGAGGGTGCTAGTTGCATCATCATGCTCAAGTGCTTAACACTTATGGGAGTTAGGGGTTATATTCTAATGGAACAGTGTGACTGTATGACCCACAAATGTCTGATATCCCAAATTGATGTTGCAATCAGTCGGTGATCTTTTAATGTTTTCTAATCGACAGGTGGAGTATTCCTTGACATGATTATTCTGGTTTTATGGGTTGAAGATGAAAATCACATCTGTCTTTATTAATTAATTCACTTTTCTCTTATGAAGTTGTAAATTGCATAAAACAACATCCAAGCCTTATTCCTAAAAGTTGAAAATTGCATGGATCGCTTTATTTATTTTATGGTAAAAAAGTGATCACATGTAAATATGTAATGATATATATATATATATATATATATATATATATATATATATATATATATATATATGCTCTCACTTTTTGGTTCTCTAAACATACATTCTCACTTTTTATACACTATTGCATACCCCTGCAGTGTTTACTCTTATAAGTTGTGTGAAGCGTATAGATTATACAAGCAACTATAATCTATATGCTTAATACGCTTAAAGAGTGTAACAGTCTAGCCCTCTTAAAGAGAGTAATAGTATATTACTCTTATAAGACTCAATGCGGTTTCTCACTGCAAATATGGAAAAGTTTGTCTACTGGTTAAAAGCCCTCCTAGTTTTAGGTTACAGTATAGTTAATCACGTTATCAATATATTTGGGTTATCATAATTTATTTCATACTAATAATTTTTCAAATTTCCTAGCAAATGTTAGTTTACTAGCTTAATTTTAGAAGTCGCGAGGTGGTACGTGGCGTTTTCAATGATTTACCTTAGGCGCGAGGAACGCGCCTCACGGATCTTAACATCATATCTTGGTAAAATATATTTATCCTACTTCTACATGAAGCACTCTTCTCAAAAAGTGATAACATCACAAAAATACTTCAAACTATTAAACAATCTTAATAAACATCATAAGAGAAACCCATTATTTTTTAAGACACTAAGACAGTAGCAAGAAATATATATTAAACGGAACCATTGCCAAAAGTCAAGTTACAAAACTCAATCTTAAAACTTTAAAACGTAATTGATAAACTGTTATATAAAAAATTGCTAATAATAGAAAATGTCATACAGAGTATATATTTGTTAAATAAAAACAAATATTTAGTTATCCTACTAAGCATGATCTAGCACAGACCGACAGAGGTAGTAACTCTACAATTTCAAGGTAATAAGATATAAAATAATACATACTTAATTAATAAACCATCACACGCATAAGAGAACAAACAGTAGAACAGAAGAAAAAAATACTTACCTGCGAGTCCTGGCCTGCAACACGAGACATCAGAGGAAGAAACAGGAGTTGTGATAAAGCAAACGCAGAAGGAAGAAACAGGACACAGATGTCGGAACTAGGAAGCAAAGCAAACAGCCAAACGCAGAAGGAAGAAGGGAGAAGACTAGAGAGACTGAATCGCCAAAAGACAGTTCCGTGAGGCGTGAGAAGCATGCGCCTCTCAGACGCGCAAAAGGTGTCAAAAAGCGCCATATAAGGCGCGCCTCTTGGAACCTACGCTGCCTGGGGGTGTAAGATGCGATAAAGGGATCGCCTTAGGGCGCCTCACTGAGGCGTTTTTTTTTTCTAAACCAAGTTTACTAGAAACACGAGATTCAAATTTAATACCATATACGTAGTATATGATTGAAATCTTGTATTGTAATTCTTTAGGTTCTATTCAACTAGCATCCTTTGTCTTGTTGTGTACTTGTGCATTAACTGCCAATTTTCTTTTTGTTTTGAATACTTTTATGCTATATCCTTTAAAAGTCATTTTACTTTTGCAATGAACAGATCAAGTAAGCTGAAAAAGCTTCGGCTTGTATCCTGCTATTGTGTTTCGAATGACTGTTTGAGTAAAGCTGCCATCCAGCTTCCATTACTGCAGGATATTCAAATATACTTCTGCAGTCTTTCTGTTGAATTCATCAAGACTGCGGGACGCTCATGTCCCTTGCTTAAGTCATTTACTTATAACAAAGATGGATGTCGAGACGAATTAGTGTGCGATGAGGAAGCTGTAGCGGTTGCGGAGCATATGAAAGGGTTGCACCACCTCTCTCTGTTTGGAAGTAACATGACAAATAAAGGTTTGAGGGCAATAGTTGATGGTTGCCCTCATCTTAAATCTCTTGACATGAGAAGGTGTTTCAACGTCGCTCCGGAAGCTGATTTGTTGGAAAAATGTTCTAAGCAAATTAAAGATTTAAAGTACCCTTATGATTCGATGTCCGACTATGAATTTTCTGATTATGTCGAGGCCTATGATGAGTTACAATATTCTATGGGCTTCTCTGACGAAGGTTATGACTTTGATGATGAGTATGATGAGTATTTTGATTATGACGACTATACTGATTCTTTTAGTCATGAGTACTTTGAACATTTTGATGACCTCTATCCAAATGTACCACCGGTGAGAATACTAATGCTGCAGTTTTAAGATAGTTTTCATTACCTTTTTTTCTTGTCTGATTATACAACATCATGTTCTCGTATTAATGCAGGAGTGGTTTATGTAAAACGAATACCTGATGGACTTTCTAATGCGCTGATGTTGGTGAGAATTTTCACCGATTCTGTGTTATCTCCTAGCTGTTGCTGCTGCTGCTTGTCCTGTACAATATTGATCCAGAATTTGTTCTCCATAATGTGTTCTCTGATTCGCGTAATTCATCCTATCTAGGTTGCTACTTTTTTTGTTTTGTTTTTTTGCTACTTCTATTTATGGGTTTTAATTATGCTCTGTCCTGAACATCAATGTGGCCTCTTAAGAACTGCATTCTTCAGTCTTTTTGTGATTGTGTTTTTTTAGTCTTGTGTGAAAAATTAGTGATCTTTTTTCAGCACATTAATAATACTAGCGGACAGTGACTCGTATTTGATTAGCAGCAGCTTTGGCCATAGGCATTTTGTAAGAAAGGAAAAGTAAACCTTGAAGAGTTGAAGGTCATCAGTATCAGTCCAATAGTGGCGTATTAAGCGTTATATGGAGCATTAGACTTTGATCAATGTGAATTGGCAATGCACACCTTGTCAATAGCCATGGAGGGCAATGTGAAGTTCTATTCGAAACCGTTTTTGCGCAGTCTCCAATCACACCTAGGGCTGGACTCGGGCCGGTTCGGGCCCGGTTCGGGCCTGGGCCCGGCCGGGCCTCGGGCCAGGAAAGGGAGGCCCGAGCCCGAACCGCCGGTGGCCGGTTCCGGTCCCAGTAACGGGCCAAACCGGGCCGGGCCGGGCCGGGCCGAACCGGCCCAATATTTTTTTTTTGTTCTCCTATTTAATCCCCTACCCCTCCCCCTCAACCCCAAACCATCCCAAACCACCTCAAATGGCCCAAAATACCTAATCCAACCTAAAACTTAAAAGAATTTCAAAAAAAAAAAAAAAAAAAATTAAAATCCGGCCCGGACCGGGCCCGAACCGGCCGGGCCGGTTCACCAAAACCTGGGCCCGGGCCCGAACCGCCCAGCAGCCGGGCCGGGCCGAACCGAACCGAGGGACCCACCGGGCCCCGGGCCGGGCCGGGCCAAACAGTAACCGGGCCGGGCCGGTTCCGGGCCGGGCCGCCCGGCCCGAGTCCAGCACTAATCACACCACATACCCTGTAGAACTTTTTCACTTCATTCGTCTCTTATAATTTTGTTAAGTATGACTGACACACATGTAAGAATAAAGAAAATATTGTGTGTAATTATTGTTTCTGGATAGCAGAGAAAAATATAGGAATCACAAACGAATTGATTAAGATCATTAAATGGGAAATAGGCAAAGCTTTTGGATTCACTTCACAAACTAAAGTAAGAAATAAAATAAGGGAAAGTTCCCGAAAAATGACTAAAACAGTTTGAAAATTCCAAAATAGGACTGCCAAGTTTTTTATTCCCAAAATAGGAGTAATTACTGTCATGTTTGGAAAATACTGCCATGTTAGAAATTTGGTACTGCCAAAACATGACAGTAATTAGTCTTATTTTGGAAATAAAAACATGACAGTCTTATTTTAGAATTTCCAAACCTTTTTAGTCCTATTTTGGGTAATATCTCATAAAATAATTGTGTACTTTTAATGTTGCACAAACACTTATGTTTTGGATTTTCTTCATATAATGTAAGAATTGTTTGTTCAAGTAGAATGTGTGTGGTACTGTGGTATTAAATATTATTTGATAATACAAAATCAAGTACTAATTATCTAATAAAGATAAATCAACATTATAAAATTAGGATTTTTTAACAGCATAAGTTTCCTAAGTTTTGAATTAATGAGTTGTTCTTTATTTTTTTAATTAATTAGAGTTTATTAGAGTAAATAAGGTGATACAAAAGGTGTAGGAGGACATTAACCAAAGCCTACCAACAAGAAATTAGTGAGTTGTTCAATTGTTCATTTGTCCAAGTAAATGATAAATTTTAGACTTTCTCCTTTAGCATCTCATATTAATTTTAAAATCTAAAATGTCAAGGAGATGAACACATAAGTAACCAATTAAAGTATGAAAACACCACATATCTAATAGAAATATTGAAAGTCCAGGGGTAGCACTCGCCCCCTGGCAACCCCCTAAATCCATCCTATCCTTCAGTCTATTCGATCATCAAAACGTAAGCGACTAAGCTGACAGGTATTTTCCCTTTTGGGAGAGGGTCAGAGGGGCATAGTTAGAATTGGAAATAGTGTTTCGTATCTTAACTATCCTTCATTTTATTAGGTTTTGGTATCTTAACTCATAAATGAATCAAATCAATATCATGACAATACATAAATGCTTTAATTGATAATCTTGTTCAAATTTGTGATCGAAAAATTCTATTTGACTATCGAAATTCCATGCTTATGTCAACCCTAAGGTGATGACAAAGACAAAAGTAAGGTGAATTTGACAACACACATAGAATCCGGCCGGTATACATGATTTTTGGTGTGGAATTGGAATAATATTGTCAGTTGAAATATTTATGTATAATTATGGTACTGATTTTATTTATTTAAGAGTTGAGACATCAAAATGTAATAATACTCATAATTAGAGTACCATTTATGTGTTTACCAATTTATCAAATACATTAATCAATTTTGAAAAAAAATTATGATTTTTTTAAAAATACAATATTTGGAATACTGAAAATCTTTCATGTGATTCTTGCAAGGCATCACATGCTCCACCTTCGAGTTTTTTTAAACACATACGAAGTATATCATTAAGACATCTCTAACCGAAAGCCATCCCACCGACCAGATGGAGAAAACCATATCAGATCTGTTGCGGGATGTTTTTATTGGGTTTTCTTTTTGCTATATTTGTTTTGTTTTTTTTTGTTCAAAAGGAAAAAAACGACACATCAATATAATTTTCAGTGGAGGGTTTGATGGGATGCGCTCGAAGGTTGGTGTCAAAATTCCCCTATTTTGAAAGAGATGTTACACCAGGATTAGTGTTTGTATTTAAAAAGAGTAGCATGTGATGTGTTAAATAGATTAAATAAGTCAATGAAACCATCACTTCCAGCCTAGCTGATTGTGAGGTTATCCTTGCATAGGAGATGTCTCGTGTTCGAGTCCCACTAGCACCAGTGGAACTATGCTCCACCAAAAAACCCTTCAAGTGGTAGGGCCAAGCGGTGTATACTAACCCTTAGGGCCAAGCCAAAGTTGAGTTTCTGGGGTAAGGGACCGTGAAAGCGGTGGAGCTAGTCACTATAAAAAGTTTACCCATACCTTAGTTTTAACGGTGGGCGTAGCTCAACTGGTAGCAAGGGAGTGCCACAAGGGTTAGGTCTCGGGTTCGAATCTCGGCAACTGCGATGAGGGGTTACTATGCTGAAAAATACACAAGGTCTCTGCAAGTACCGGGGACAGAGCCCCACTCTCTATCTGTCAGATTGTGATTATAGTCTAATTTACATCCTCCCATCGTGCCGTCCGGTCGGTGTTGGGGGGCCCTCAGGGATGGGGTGTCATCTTTTTTTTTATTAAATAAGTCAATGAGATTTGAGTCTAATTAAATAATAGGTCAGGTTCAATATTTTTGTACGGAGTATGATTTAACCAAAATATATAGCTCCATTGATGTACCTTTATACCAGTAATAATTAATTACTCCCTACATAATAGTATCAAGGCATGTCTGGTTCACCTCATCTACATGGTTTCTTAATTACGTGTAATAGGATAATTTTAGTTTGTGTAATTACAATTTTAAAATGTTGGGCAATCCTTTTAATTTCTTCCATCATTTTTTCCTCATATATCTTTTTATGAGAAAAGAGTACAATATCCTTTTACTTTCTAAATAAATGTTAGCAACACATTGAGATGTCTGTCCAAGTAGGGGTGAGTTTGATTTTCACCAAAAAACAAATACGCAACTAAAGTAAAAAGTGCAGTTTAATTTCAGGTTGATTTTACATTTTAAAATTTGAAACCGTGGTTTGATTAGCTCGGTTTATTTCGGTTTAATTTTGGATTTTTAGGTTTTTTTTACTAAAAATTGTCATTGAAATGAAAATGATATGGTACTTGGGGATCAAACATATAACATAAAAACATGCAAGCATACTAGAACACATAATTTCAAAAAGGTAGTTCTTGGTTGCGGTTCGATTTATTTTCATTCGGTTTTTAGTTTTTCGGCCCGGTCCTAGTTCATGTGTGTCACTCCAAGTCTCCAATGATTGAGGTAGTTCTTGATAGCTACAGTACTCGGTTGAATTCCTAGCAACTATATGACAGAGTAATGACATTTTTTACCTATGAGTTTCTTTAAGTGTAGGCATGAGCTTGAGTGTGTCTGTCAACGATATTGTAACTACAACTCCACAACAAGCACAACTAGTTCCGGGTCTCAAGCATCTCGTTTATGTATAAAAAAGATTGGCTGCCGGGCCGGCCCCATCTGAAAATTCGAGTATGTAGAACACTAAAATACTTTTAATTTTTATATATTAAGATTCTCATAACTCAATAAAAAATTACGACTCCTAGAAAGTAGCATCATCTAAATCTGGATGTGTAAAATTTGATGCACTATATTAGTTCAATACCCAAATTTTAAGAATAATGTCTTATTCACTCATCAATCACTTGAAGTTTATAATATATTGCATATATATCAAATTAATTGCTTTAGGTCTCATTTAAACAAATGTTTATTTCAAATACATATGAAATATTCAACTCAAAGTCTCAAATATTGTTTAAAAACAATATGGTTTTTTTATATGTACATAGTTAATTTTGACACTTGGACGTTTTTTGGGGGCTGCCAGCGTATATGACTATGTTTGTATCATTAAGCTTGTAATAATTCTATACGTATATATTTTTAAGACATTTTAACATGACACATGTTGATCGAATGGTCAAAACTGATGCAATTTTTCACCTCTTATACTAAGGGGGTGTTTGCAATCACTTAAAAAAAAACACTTCTCAGCTTTTGACTTAAAAAGCACTTATTTATCAAACACTACCAATTTTATCTTTTTCTCGGCTTGCGTGTGAAAAGTGCTTTTCCCCTTTCTATTACACAAAAAGCACTTATTTTACCAAACACTATTCAACTTTTACTTTTCAAAATCACTTTTTTCTCAAACACTATCAACTTTTTCTACTAATCACTTTTTCCTTACATCTCCAAAAGTGCTTTTATTTAAGCAGAAACTGTTGCAAACACTCCCTAAGTGTGAATACGAAATGTACTTGCCATCATAAAGTTCCGCTTGGGAGGGTATGAATTAGGGCTAGCTATGATAAGATGAAGTTCGATCATATTAAATTAATTTAATTTTCTCCTAATTTTTTAGTAAAGATTTAAGCTTTTCTGATTGAGCTCACCGCACTTTTGTTATTGAACTTTGTAATGTCCAATCTAAATTCATTTATCCATCGTAAACTTTAAATTACCATATGAAACACTTTTAAGATCCATTTGTGTACTCAAAACATGAAAAAAGTTGACACTTCATCTC